CAAAAAAAAAAAAAAAAAAAAAAAAAAAGGTCTCAGTCTATCACCCAGACTAGACTAATACTATTATTATTATTTTTTAGAGATGGGGTCTTGCTATGTTGCTCACACTGGTTTTGAATTCCTGGACTCAAGTGATCCTCCCACCTTGGCCTCCCAAAGTGCTGGGACTACAAACATAAGCCATGGCACCCAGCCTGAATTTACAGTTCTTTTTTTTTTTTCTGAGATGGAGTTTCACTCTTATTGCCCAGGGTGGAGTGCAATGGCTCCATCTCAGCTCACCACAACCTCCGCCTCCCGGGTTTAAGTGATTCTCCTGCCTCAGCCTCCCGAGTAACTGGGATTAAAGGCATGTGCCACCATGCCTGGCTAAGTATGTATTTTTAATAGAAATGGGGTTTCTCCATGTTGGTCAGGCTGGTTTCGAACTCCTGACCTCAGATGATCCACCAGCCTCGGCCTCCCAAAGTGCTGGGATTACAGGCATGAACTACCGTGCCTGGCCTTTGGTTCTTAACATTAAGCCTCTGTTGAGTAAAACAGTTCCATTAATGTTATGAGTAGCTTGTTATGATTACTTTTAGAAATAATTTACATTTCATGATATATAGTTACACAATTTGATTACTTACATAGAGTTAATCATCCATGTCTAAATTATTCTAAAGTATTTTACATGAAATATTCATACATTATTACCCTAAAGATGCTTTCTAAAAATCTGAAGTTATCCCTTCACTTACGTTGTGACTTCAAGTCACTGCAAGTGATAAGGCAAATGTGAACAAACATGCACCAGGGATTTATTATGAGGATTCATAAACCCAGCTGAGAGTTAACAGGGATGATGCCCTTCTTGTGTTAATGATCTATGATTCTTCAATAGCTATCATTTATCCTAATCATTAATCTAAATCTTTTCAAAACATAATAAAACTGAATAAATCCAACAGAAGCATATAGTTCCTCAACAAATCAAAACAAAAAACATGGTTTTCAGTGTATCCATCCTTTTAAAGATTAGAGTTCTCTCTGTCCCTAACTATAATTCTGTGACATCAAATTTTAGCTGGGTGCAGGCGCAGTGGCTCATGCCTGTAATCCTAGCACTTTGGGAGGCCAAGGTGGGCGGATCACCTGAGGTCAGGAGGTTATGACCAGCCTGGCCAACATAAAGAAATCCTGTCTCTACTAAAAATACAAAAAATTAGCCAGGCGTGGTGGCATGTGCCTGTAGTCCCGTCTACTCTGGGGGCTGAGACAGGAGAATCACTTGAACCTAGGAGGTGCAGATTACAGTGAGCAGAGATCCCACCACTGCACTCCAGCCTGGGCAACAGATTGAGACTCTACCTCAAAAACAAAACAAAACAAAATAAAAAAAAATTAGCCAGATCTGACTTGGACATTTAATTTCTCTAAGCAAATTAAAAGAACAAAACAGCCAGAATTATGTATTTAATTGTAGTGGTTATTAACCACATATTAAGCACACTAAAGAATTAGCAAGTCAAAACCTTTCAATTAGGCTGGGTGCAATGGCTCACACCTGTAATTCCCACACTTTGGGAGGCTGAGGCAGACAGAGGCAGGCAGATCTCTTGAGTCTGGGAGATCAAGACCACGCTAGGCAACATGGCCAGATCCTGTCTCTATAAAAAATGCAAAAATTAGCCAGGCCTGGTGGCATGCACCTTGCAGTCCCAGCTACTTGGGAAGCTGTGGTGGGAGGATCACTTGAGCCTGGAAGATTGAGGCTGCAGTGAGCCGTCATCATGTCACTGCACTCCAGCCTAGGCAACCGTGTGAGACTCTGTTTCAAAAAAAAAAAAAAAATTAGCTGGGCGTGGTGGTGCCCACCTGTAATCCCAGTTAGTCAGGAGGCCAAGGTAGAAGAATAGCTTGTACCCAGGAGGCAGAGGTTGCAGAGAGCCGAGATTGTGTCACTGCTCTCCAGCCTGGGCAACAGAACATGTTCTGTCTCAAAAAAAAAAAAAAAAAAAAAGGCACAGCACCTGGCCTAGTGTTTTAATTCTAGGGAACAAAAATGGTATAGCCAGGCGCAGTGGCTCACACCATAATCCCAGTAATTTGAGAGGCTGAGGCAGGCAGATCACCTCAGGTAAGGAGTTCGAGACTAGCCTGGCCAACATGGCAAAACCCCATCTCTACTAAAAATACAAAAATTAGCCAGGTGTGGTGGCACACGTCTGTAGTCCCAGCTACTTGGGAGGCTGAGGGAGGAGAATGGCTTGAACCCTGGAGGCAGAGGTTGCAGGGAGCTGAGATCTCACCATTGCACTCCAGCCTAGGTGACAGAGGAAGACTCTGCCTCAATAAACAAAACAAAAAAATTAGCTGGGCATGGTGGTTTATGCCTGTAATCCCAGCTAGTTGGGAGGCTGAGGCAGGAGAATCACTTGAACCTGGGAGGCAGAGGCTGCAGTGAGTGAGCTAAGATCATGCCACTACACTCTAGCCTGGGCAACACAAAAAATACTGTCACCAAAAAAAAAAACTAAAAAAAAAAAGATGGCCGGGCGTGGTGGCTCATGCCTGTAATCCCAGCACTTTGGGAGGCTGAGGCGGGAGGATCATGAGAGCAGGAGATTGAGACCATTTTGATTAACACAGTGAAACCTGTCTCTACTAAAAACACAAAAAATTAGCCAGGCGTGCTGGTGGATGCCTGTCCCAGCTACTTGGGAGGCTAAGGAAGGAGAACTGCTTGAACCCGGGAGGCAGGGGTTACAGTGAGTCAAGACTGTGCCACTGCACTCCAGCCTGGGCAACAGAGCAAGACTCCATTTCAAAAAAAAAAAAAGGGATAATATGATACCAGCTTTCAATAAGCATTACAACATTTAGTAATTCCAAGGCAGGTATAAAAGGTTAATAAAAATATTAGCTTTAAATATAAAATTGCTACAATATTATGTTTGGAAATAAAAATTAATGGTAATTAAAATATTTTTAAATTTCCCATCTAGATGTTTATATAATGAAGACATAAGCTCATTGGTCAACTTATATTTATTATTTATATGTTTAAGTTACTTCATTTGCTAATCAATTGACTATGTTTTCATAACATCATGTGGATTAATTAACAGCATAACATTCTGTAATCCTCATAAAGAACAATATCTCATAAGAGTTGTCAACTCTTAAAACAAAAAACAAAAAGGGTTGTCAACTCTTAGCACAGGTTAATTTAAGAGTTAATAGTGGGATGCTACAGAAAGCAGTTCACATAATTTTACAGGACTGGGGATCAGATAAAGTTGAGAGCTATAAAAAGATGATTCTCACTTACTTTAGATTCAAGTTCAAGAAGATCAGAATGGCCCATAGCTGGCTCAGAAACTACTTTTTGTAAAAAATGTAATTCCTTTTTCTTGTTTTCTATTTCTTTAGGAAATTTTTCAGTTACCATATATAAATTAAATTTTATCTCCTCCTCTAGCCTCTTCATTAAACCTTTAAAAATAAAATAAATATTCAGCCCAAAAGACATATCTGTTGAAAACAATCTGTATAATATCTAGCATAGTACAATAAAAGATTGACCACTGAAAATGAAGAAACACAATTTGCATGGAAGAATATCTAAATAATTACAGAAAAAGTATTAGTATGACCTTTTCAAATTATAACCTAATTATTTTATATTCCACAATACACAAAAATGACATTTGCAGAGCCAGATATATTGTTGGGTCATATTTTATCCTCTAAGTATTTAAGAAATCCATGAACCATGCCAGGCACTGTGGCTCATACCTGTAATCCCAGCACTTTAGGAGGCTGAGGTGGGTGGATCACGTGGTCAGGAGTTTGCGACCAGCCTGGCCAATATGGTGAAACCCAGACTCTGCTAAAAATACAAAAAATTACCTGGGCATGGTGGCATGGGTCTGTAGTCCCAGCTGCTCAGGAGGCTGAGGCAAGAGAATTGCTTGAACCCAGGAGGTAGAGGTTGCAGTGAGCTGAGATTGCACAACTGCACTCCAGCCTGGGCGACAGAGCAAGACTCCATCTCAAAAAAAAAAAGAAAAAGAAATCCCTGAACCAAATGATAACACAAATAAAATCTAACCCAGGTGCTCTTTTATATAGATGATCATGTATTTTTTTTTTCTTTTGGAATACTTTTGATGCAGTATATATATACATATATATATGTATGTGTGTGTGTGTGTGTGTGTGTGTGTATGTATATTGTGTATATATACACAATACTATATAGTACATACATACAAATATAGTATATATAGTATTCTGTATATATATAATATATACAATATATAGTATATATACATACTATATATTGTATATATTATATTGTATATATTATATACACAATACTATATATACTATATATACAATATATACTAT